CCCCAAAACCCCAAAACCCCAAAACCCCAAAACCCCTCAAGAAGAGTAAAAAATTGAAAATTATACAATTAATACATGTGCTATCTCTTGAAAGATAAGTGGTTATAATAGAAAAAATCAAAATTAATTGAACGGTAGGTTAACCCCCTCAGATTTAAACCCTCAGTTTTGAATAATCTCTTTGGCTATAGCTAATTTCTTCTTCTCCATTTTGAGTCTTTTCCTTTGCTTCCGACTTGGAGTTCAAGCTAGTTTATTAAAATCCTCCTTCGATCATTCTCTATTCTAAATTGATAATCTAATAGCTTTACATGTCTCTTATTTTTCTTAGTCTCTTCATCTTCAGGCTCAGCCTCCCGAATCGGGAACAAGTGGAGACTCAACAGTAACCGTACTGAAGAGTTCCTCTCAATTGCTCTCTCTACTTCAGATGGCTCCATATCGCTATAAGATTGGTAATAAACTAGGCACTAAAATAATAGGTTTTCTTCATATTAAAAATCGAAATATTTCTCATTGCCAATTTATTGTTCATATAGAGCTTTAACGGCTTGTTTTAAGCTTTGGATAATGGAGCATATGCTCGATTAATAATGAATTACAGAAAATCCTTTCGGAAATATTTTTGGCATCGATAAATTAACAGGGATTTGAAAGCTGAAATTTATGGTGGAACTGAAGAGAGCTGAAATTTATGGTGGAACTGAAGAGAGTTGAAAGAAATTTGCTCAGTTCGAAATAAAAATAGCTTTAATCTTAGTTGTAGCATCGACAATACCAAAAATCTGTATTAACCCCAAATTTCAACCAGCCCAGAACTCCGTTCTTACTAAACCTCTTCACTGTAATCCACAAACAAGTAACAGTCGAACCGACGTTTAATAACGAACATGGAGGAAGAGTAGTTTAAGGTAGGCCCCAAGTGGATTAGGGTAGTATCAATCCAATTACTTACTTAACCTTCTTCGAGGCCACTAAAGGATTATCGTTAGTCTCTCTTGAAAAGATCTCATTAATAGTAATATCGTCTTCATCAATTTCTCATGACTTAAGGTCATAAGACTCGCTCTTGCTTATCTCAAGCTCGAGCAATTCCCGATGGTTCATAAAAAGTAGTTTATCTGCAGTGATTGAGTTAGTGGCCATTTGTATAAAAATTATTTCATTTATGCTTCGCATTTACGGGGTTTTGGGGTTTTGGGGTTTTGGGG